AACAACAACAAAAAAACAAAACAAAAACACAACAAAAAATATATATGCTGTGCTCAACTGTGCTGGTTGTGGCTGCCATAGTCTAAGGTTTAATAAATAATTCCACATGTATGTGTTTTTGATGTTTTTGTTTCAGAAGCCAATGATACAATCTCACAATGTTAGTACTGGGCAGAGAGTGGAGAATCTTGAGACCCTACTACCAACCCCTAAAAAAATCAGGTTTGAAGAGAGCCTCATTTGGGATTCGAACCCAGTAATTCAGCATGGTACAAAGTGACTTGTCGGCACTACCCCCCCCCTCCAAAAAAGCCAAATTAAATGAATCCCTTAATCTTGACGCTCATTATGGATTGTATTATGGTGATAATAATAATATTGCTGTGCTCAACTGTGCTGTTGCGGCTGCCATAGTCTAAGGTTTAACAAATAATTACATATGTACGTGTTTTTGATGTTTTTGTTTCAGAAGCCGATGATGCTTACTATTCTGCGTTCATCTTAGAAAAGTATGGGACATTGTTCGTACGGAAAGACGACTCAGTGAATCTTTCTCTTTTCATTGGCGTCCGGATTCAGATGAAAGTGCAGGTATATAAATGTTCCCAAGACCGTGACAAGAAGAATTAGTACAATAGACTACTCTTTCAAGAAGGAATAAAAGTAACCGACAATACCCTTGAGTGTAAATACAACCCGTCTTGGAGAGAATACTCAGAGATCTCATGTACCTTGTTACAGGAAGTCTGTTCATGCACAATTTAGCAAACAATTTTCTTGTAATCAGCGCCAATAGTAGTATCTATGAAATTGTGTGTTTTGGTCGGAGAAATAGTTCTTTAAATTGGGTTAAAAAAAATAATCTTAATTTTACTCTTAAGAGCTAAGTTTCTTTGGAACCTGTTTATGGTACATTTTCAGGTCCGAGACCAGACAACGAATTTGACAGCTACTAAGAATTTTCTCATCAACATTGTGGACGAGACTGATCCCCCTTCATGCACTTGGCAGTCCAGATATGGCGATATCACTTGGAGAGAGACCCTTCTAATTAATGTGTCCTCTTATGTGCCTATCGGTTCTGTTCTTGGACAACTCAACTGCGTTCAATCAGATGCGAAGCAAGCACTGAGCTTTTCTTATACAACAGGTTTGTAATTAGCGTTGTGATGTTTTTGACGTTTTTTTGCATTTTGTCGGATATCTTGTTTACTTGGGAGTGGGTTATGCTCATAGATTACTTTGTTTGAAAAGTGTTTCTTGTCCAGAAAAAGAGCAAATGACAATAGAATGATCAACCTCTTTTACTTGAGCTCCGTAGATTATTCCAGATTTCTTTTTTTAAGAACTTGATATGAACCCAAACTGCCGGACAAAGGGTTTGAAATTTCTGTTAGGGTCAAGATTTGTTTTTGCGTTTGTAAAGTACGTAAACAAAGACAAAAGTCTCAACAGGAAATGGATTCCGAGTGCATGCGTGTACGTCTACTATGTGCAGACTAGCTATATATACTAGGCTACCGTTCATGGGGTTGATAGCATAGAATACAATGTAGTCTGATTAAATAATTTATGATTTCCTGAACTACGAGGGGGGGGGGGGGGGGGGGGGGAGGTGGTAAAAAAGTAATGCAAGTTGTTTGGTATTTTGCGCAATTTTGCATCAAATTATATGAAATTCAGCTTACAAGTACTTGCACATGTACTTTGAAACTCAAACCGTTAAATTTTGAGTTCCTTTCATTTTTGTCTGAATGACGTCACATCAAAAGGGCTGCCCCCTTGGAGGTCTGTCGGATGCAAAGAGCAGTGATTGAATTTCTTGTTTTAGAAGGAGAATCCACCAGTAACATCCAAACGAGACTTCAAAATGTTTACAAGGACCAAGCGCTAGATTTTGGTACTGTATATATGTGGGTTAGACGTTATAGCAATGAACCGTAAGAAGAGGAAGAGGCGTCCACATGCTCGTAATTGACACCCACTTCCTTCCTCCCCTAGAGCATTTCACTCAGCACTTATCCAATGCTTGATAGCTCGTAGTGAGGTCTTGTGTGTGCGTGTGCGTGTGTGTGTGTATGTATGTATGTATGTGTGTGTATGTGTGTGTGTATGTGTGTGTGTGTGTGTGTGTGTGTGTGTGTGCGTGTGTGTGTGTGTGTATGTATGTATGTGTGAGTATGTGTGTGTGTGTGTGGGTGTGTGCGCGTTTATACGATACACTTGTTTTGTGCAGGCGCTAATCACTTTGTTTGAAGTTAAAAGAAAGTGTCGTACATAAAGACTCACCCTTTTTCTCTCGTTCTACCATCTTTTTCAGCTTCACCAGTGGAACTTCATGTTTCGAACTCCGGGCAGGTCATCCTGAAAACTTTTATCAGATTTGACAATATAAGTGTTCTGTTGTTGGTATCTGATGGAGTGAACCAAGTGACGTTCAACTTAAACATACTTGTTATTGGTAAGTGATATTTCTTACCTATTATGTGAACACTTAAAAGTTTCTCGTGCTCCACATCAGTTTTTGACAGTTCTTTTTTCTCTTCAGTAATTAATTTGGTAATAATTTTTGGGTAATACAATGAGATAGCACTTCCTATCTATCTATCTATCTATCTATCTATCTATCTATCTATCTATCTATCTATCTATCTATCTATCTATCTATCTATCTATCTGTCTGTCTGTCTGTCTGTCTGTCTGTCTGTCTGTCTGTCTGTCTGTCTGTCTGTCTGTCTGTCTGTCTGTCTGTCTGTCTATCTATCTATCTGTCTGTCTGTCTGTCTGTCTGTCTGTCTGTCTGTCTGTCTGTCTGTCTGTCTGTCTGTCTGTCTGTCTGTCTGTCTGTCTGTCTGTCTGTCTGTCTGTCTGTCTGTCTGTCTGTCTGTCTGTCTATCTTGGTAGTATCAGACCACGGTAATGTTGGCATGACTTGGTAGTAACACATTGGTTGACTGTAATCTAGAGTTTTCATGTGGTCGCCCATTACAGAAGTCCTTCCTTATTCATAAATATGTATATATATATATATATATATATATATATATATATATATATATATATATATATATATATATATGTGTGTGTGTGTGTGTGTGTGTGTGTGTGTGTGTGTCTTTTTTACAGTAGAGGGTTTTACGGCCCTCGCAACTGCATAAGGTCATATGAGCGCCATTGTGTGTGTATGAGCCTGTGTCTGTGTGTCTCTGTGTGCATGTTTATGTATGTTATAGCTCACCAATGATACATTTTAGTGTTAAAATGTGTTACAAGAAAGTTATTTTATAGTGTTCACATTTATTTGCGCTATAGGTTCTCAAAACATGCGTTCTCATTTGTCACATAGAGTTTCCATAATTAAAAAATACAGGTTGTGCTCATAATATGTTTTATCATGGGTCAAACATTGCATATTTCTGTCACTGGGCCGTTCAGAGCACCTGATCTCCTCACGAGACTACAGAATCAAGTAAAATATTTCATGATCTGCAAGAAAACGTTTTGAACCTATGCAGATTCGAACTCCAAACTTTGACTTGTAAAGTTCGTTTAAATAAATTTATAATAAATTTAAAAAATATATATGTTCGCTGTGTGCCATATTATGCGTATACAAAATGTGTGTGAGACGCGGGAAGTTATATGAACAATCACATTTTCTGCGTGACGGAGATTTATAGTATTTTATATACATTTATAAAGAAAAGTTCTAAAAATCTAGCATCAATAATGTGGAAATATAATATAAATGAAAACTGCTGTGCAAAGCATGGGTGACTCTAGTTCACCCGTTAAGGAGATATTTAAGTTGAGCCACGAATCTTTAACCACACTGTGTAGTATCCACAACTACTGTTCTTAAATTTCAGTTTGCTGTTACTAGGACCGCTCCCTCTCTTGCATTTTTGATTGTTTGATTATAAGCATTTTTCACTCCCAGTCACATACTGTTAGATAATTAAAGAGACATGCTGCTTTGAACATGACAGCCCGGCCAGGGCTATCCCAGCAGAAAAACGGACATACTCTAAAATAAGTTTAAAAAACATAATAGACAGCATTTGTATAGCGCAAATCTCCGCTCAACAGCACGCTCTATGCGCTTCAAAATCTATACTATTACCCCAGCAGACCTGAGGAGAGCATTCTGAAACAATCTCAACTTCCTGGGAAGCAAACAGTGCAAGCGACCATTTATAGGCGCTAAAAAACTAGCATACTGACAAGATCGTTCGCTGTCTATGGCCGGGTACCGATTCCTACCTGAGTGAAGTAAGGAAAATCCGTGTAAAGTGCCTTTCCCAAGGACACAACGTCAGGCCCGCAGCTCGAACCCTCGGACCTGCAACCTCACGATTACGAGTCCGGAGCCCAACCACTAGGCCACCGACACCATGCTTGAGAATTGGACCCACGACTTCTGTGTGCAACGGTCAACATCTGGTCAGCCAGCATGTTACAGCGCAGTAGATATCATAATATGTGTTCAGCATTGGTGGTTGATTGAGAGATAAATCTTGTTCAGACTCCCTGGAACAGCGCAATATTCTTGTTAATTTAGTAAAGAAGGGTGAAGAAATACGGGCGTTCAGAGAACTAACTGTTTTCTCAGAATTTACCTTCTAGGGTTGTGAACCTCGACATCTATGGTGAAAGGATTATGTTCTTTGCCTCGCACACACACGATGAGAGTTCGATTCTCAGGATGGGAAGTTTGTTTAATCAAGCATTTCCACCTTTCTTTTGGGGATACACAAACTGGCCCAGTTGACGTGGGTTCAAATAGTCAGGTCAAAGCAGAACATCTTAATTCTATCTAAACTGCTCTGATGGTGATTGTGGGAAATGAAATGACCATGTGAAAAATTAATCAACCAAGTTGTTACATCCAGATGTTTTGTCTGTATTGCAGCCAGCCCCCCACAACCACTGCTCTCTGTGGACACGATCGGAGACGAATGGGTCATTGCCAACTATAGTTTAGACTTTGACTACGACTGGATAGATCTCGCCCAAACCTCTGGGGTACTGAAATCCCTCAAACTGCAGTGCAAGGTGTCTAAGAATGCACTCCAACAAGATGACATGTTGAACTGGGACGCAGAATCTGATGTTGGGCTCCGCTCTTCAAGGGCCGTTGTAGAACTTCTGTCTCCAGGTCAAAACTACACATGCAAATTGATGGCCAGTGGACTGTACGGAATGACAGTGTCTGAAGCAGTTAATATCACAACTCTAGGTGAGCTCATGATCTATCTATCTATCTATCTATCTATCTATCTATCTATCTATCTATCTATCTATCTAAACATGTGTCTATATAATATGATATATTTTTGTGTGTGTGTATATATATGTATATATATATAATGTATAATTAATGCCCGTGTGTGTATGTGTGTAAATATAATATGATTAATTATTTTGATTGCCCTCTTCCCTGCTTCCTTCCGCCTCGTCAGTATTATTTAAGTGATTTATGAGAATCAGCGACCCCCCCCCCCCAACCGCCCCTACCACTCCTCTTTCTGATCTGAAGGAGTCAATTATTCAATTTTTATTGGGCTCAATGACAGTGTGGTTATCCCGTTTTCCTCTCTTCCGTCTTTTTTAGCTATAGTTATCATATTAGCTCTGCACCCTCCCTCCCTCAACCACCGCCCATTTTCTTTGGCTCCTCCGTTTTATTTTTTTAGAGCTTAGAGGCAACTGCTTTTCCACCTCCTTCTCCTCCTCCTTGTCGTTGTTATCCTCCTCTGCCTTCATTCCGTTCTCAGACATTAAAACAAAAATCCATTCATTGTTTTCATTATCTCCTCAATCATCTTTGATGTTGTCATTATTGTTACATTAATATTTGTTGTTGTAGTTATAGTCGTTGCGTAAATTAGTTGTTGTTGTTGTCAAGATTGTTATTAAGAACGCAGAGAAGAGAGAAAACAGGTAACTTATTCTGTCAGTGGAAGGTGTGTTTGAAAAAACCTAAATGTGTTATAGCACCCAGATTTTTTTTCGACCCTCGGTCAATAGAGGTCAAGTCAAGATAATAATAATAATCTTTTTAGGTTAATTATTTCTCAAGAGCTGCAGATTGTCTATTAGTGATGTGAGAATTTGCAAAGACAAAAAAGTCACTAATGCTTCAAAATCTGTAATCATTCAACTTTTTTCTTTTTTCCTGGTAAGTGTTTTACGGCGCTCGCAACTGCATAAGGCTATATGAGTGCACGAGACACATTAAACATAATTTTCAGTTGGTAGGAAATTTTGAATTTTGCCCGGGTGGCGGCCGAAGCCTACTCTTATTGTTTTAGGACCACTAAGGGATCTTTACCGTGCGCAACTTGCACACGGGACCTTCGAGATTTTTTGCCCTTATCCGAGAAGGCTAAGTGTTCAATCTTACCTACCATAAGATAAGGGGTGTGGCTGAAAGACAACAGCAAGAAGGAGCCAAGAAGTAGCAGTGGAAAGGCTGCAGAAAGAATAATTTATGGAGCCCAGAGAATGGGGCAAAGGAGGCTACGGGGTGAGGGCAGAAAGAGGAGACGAAAGCAAACAAAAGAACATTGTTGGAGAGCAGAAAAGAAGTAGAAAGAAGTATATTTTTATAGAAGAAAATTTTCCGTCGCTATCCGGATTCGAACCTGGGACCTATTTAATGAGAGGCGAACACCGTAACCTCTCGACCACGAGAACCCCCATTTATGATCTACGTTGCTACTCGATAGTATTTCTGAACATCTCTAAGATGACTGGAAAAGGGGAAAAGGTTTACATCTGATTTGCTACTGTCAGTGTGAGAATTGCAACGACTGTAACTTTTGCTCTAAAATAAATAAATGAAGGAAGGAAGGATTGGAGTAGTGTGTAATACTAATGTATATAACTTAAGCATGTAATGCCATTACTGGCGACTTCAATGTCTGCAAGGGGCTTTCGTGGTCTACAGGTTACGGTGTTCGCCTATCATTCAGTAGATCCCGGGTTCGAAACCTGACAGCGACAGAAAATTTTCTTCGCTAAGATTTTCTCCTTTCACCTCCTTTCCTGCTCTTTAACCATGTTCTGTCTTCTTCTTTCGTCTCCACTTTCTCCCGCCCCACCCACTCCC